GGTGTGCTATTGTTCCTTCTAATAATGTGAATTTAGTATTATAGTTTACTTTTGTACCGTTGCCTTTTCTAATAACAGTAATAGAGTAATACTAATATTTTCAATTGTTTTTTTTTTTAAATTTTTCTAGCAGAATATGAAAAACTACGAGTATGTTTTTCCTTCCAATTACCGAATTCCCACTGGTTTCATATATGTTGTGTTATTTTCTTGTTTTTGGCAATGAAGTATTATAATAAATACAATATTATAATTCTCATTATCTTTATCCAAAAGAACAAAGTCTTTAATTTTCCGACACAATCCAACACCTTCTTAAATGTTTGTCCACTATAACTGTAGGTCTAAATTTGCTCTTAGTGTCAACATTTAATTCTACAGTAAGCGTTAGTCAGTTAGTAAAAACAAAAAAATTAAAAAAAGTTCCTTACATTTAAATGATTAACGAACAAAGATTGGAGATTGAGCATCGAATTTACTTGATCGTACATTAAAAAGACCTCGTTCCATAGCTTATATAAATTTCATAAAATAAAACTTATTCTAAAGTAATAATACCAATTTTGAGTTTTGCACGGTAGATGGATCCTTTGGATCGTCGTTATAACTTAACTTAATATAACAGTTCCAATTGAGCTCCAGTACTCAATATTCTTTCCACCTCAATAAAAATTTTAAACAAAATAATTTTAAAAACTGTTGTTTTCATCCTTATAATTCATTATTCTTAATTTATGATTTTAAAAAACATATTTAATATTTTTTAAAAATTATCTTATTACTTTGTGATTGATGATATATTAAAAAAAGAAATTTAACTTAAGCGCTGACATAATGGCTTTTTCTTATTAAGTTTATAGTATCGAATAAAAATTGTTATATGCAAAAATAAAATATATTTATTATTGCACATGATCCTTAAGAAAAATTGAAAAATTGCAGAATACTTGTGTTAACAAATGATTAATGTAAAAATATATTAACATATATATATTAAGTACATACAATATCTTTAAGCAAAAACTAAAGTTGCAAGCCTCATATGTTACATATTAATTATACAATACTATAAAAAAAAATATTTAATATATATAAACATATTAAATAAATATATTGTTTTTGTTTTTAAATCGTTTGCCATTTGATGTATATTACTGTTATGTTATAAAAGTACTAAGTAAAAATTTCTAGTGTCATAAATAATATATAAAATTATAAAAACTTTTTAATATAAAAAAATATCATTCTAAATATACATCATACCACTAACAAAAAAGTTTTTTAAAATTTTTATTAATTGTTTAAATAATTGTTTATTTTCAAAACTACTTATTGCCAAGTGCTGTGTCCTTTGCATAATTAATTATACAATATATAAATGTATTAATTAATACAATATACTACAAATATCTCTTATATTTCTGTTGATTAAAAAATCGCTTTTTTTTATTCACAAAAAAAAATTTTATAAAAATATAAATTTAAATAAATACAAATTCACCTCTCAAAGCAATTCTAAAATAATAAAATAAACTTTAAATTTAAGCAAATCGTTTTAAAAATTAAAATATTTATATATATATCTATATATATAATAATAATAATAAGAAATTATAAAAAAATATTAAATCATAAATTCCTTAACGTAAATTAAGTCACTTTTACATATAAAATGTAAAATTTTTGCAATATTTACAGTTAAAAATTTAAATTTTATGCAACAAAAACATTAATAATCAATAAAATTTAATCTAATTTAAAAAAAAATTTCTTAATCATCAAAATGTAAGAATTGCTCCACCTAAATAATAAATAAAAAAATTCATTGACTTAAATGCAAATAAATGTATTAAATTGGAGCTCTTAAAAATAAAGTAAAAAAGAAATACTCTTTTTAATATATATATATAATATGTTAATTTAATAATTAAAAAAAAATACCTAAATTCTTGAAGAAAAATCTAGCTACATTTCTACTAAAACTAATTTAAACTAAAAAGCTATGTGGAACACATTTTTTACTTATACATCTATATTTTAACTTAATATTCAATTTTATGAATTTAATTATATACAAAATGAATAAAAATTAATAAAAAATAATCAACAAAAATATTGAAGAAAAACAAAATTAAATTTTAAATTGTTATCATCTTTTATTTAAGACGATTTTTTTTTTCATAAATTGATAATTAGGAATAATAAATGTTTTATTTTACATGTATAATAATATCTATTATTATATAAGTACTTATATATAATAAGCTAAATATATTTTTGGGCAAATAGTTATTAATTTACAGTATTTAATATCAAAGGCATAATACTTTAATTCAGTATTTCTATTAACACCTGAAGAGATTGATATATCTATATATATCTATAACTTTATAAAGCTCCTAAAAATAAAGTTAACATTTTTTGACTCTAGGTGGAAGATTTATAATTATTTTGTACATACTGTAGAAAAAGCTAATATTATATATATGATATTGTATATAAAAATAGTGATAATGAAGTTTAGATAATGATAATATTATACTGTTGGCATATATATATTGCTAACTTCAAATCATTTTATAGTTATATGTGTTAAAGCAATCGGAGTAGTTACCTTCATTTAAGTTTATATTTTACAGTCTTTAGTAAATAATCATTCGAAGAATAATGCAAACTACTTAGCATAATTATATTAGTTTTTATATTTTTACCGGGGTTGGGACGTTTATTTAACACATAACAAAGATTCTTTGTTAATACACTGAAGATGGTCCGAAATATTTGTAATTAAAATAATTTTTTAATTTTTTTAATAAAAATTAAATATAACTAAATATTTAACGCTGTTTAAAAAGTGTAATTTTTTATTTTATTTAAAAAAAACATTTTCATAAAGTTATATGTTAAATAAACGACTTAAGCCCGGTAAAAAATATGAACTCTAAATAAATATTGGTGGTAATGACAATTTATTAATAATTTTATAAGTATATCGTAACTAATATTGGATATGCTGTGAAATTATAAAATATTGTTTTACATATAGTACAGAATATTGGAATCTCTCGTTCATTAACATTTATGTTCGTATTTTATCTTTTATTAATGATAAAATGTCGATTTCAACGATTTAAGGCACGTTACATGATTGTAAAGATTTTTTTATTAGATATCCTTACTTTGAACCTGAAAGCCTCTTTGTCATATTGGGGACTTCAGATACACATTTAAGAAAGTAAGAAATCTTTCTGACATATAAATATGAGAACTTCTAGTAGTAACAGAAATTAAGACAAACTTAGTTCAAAAATTTTTTTTGAGTTGCTAAATATTGTGACAGATTTTTATTTGTAGATTTGGTTTAAGACCAATTTTGAAAAGTAAAATAACGATGTATTTATACAAACTATGAACTAACTCTCGTATTTTTATTGTTGAAATCTATCTGTCTTAAGTTATACCTATTCAGTTCAATAATCACAGCTATATACTTTTTGAGATTTTGTTAATAGAATTGGTTTTTTGGCTTAGTAGTGATTATTTTTCTTGAATTTGTTTTGTTCCCAAAGGGATTCAATATTTCAATAATTTTGTTGCTATAAACCAATTTATGGGTCTGTTAAGCTAATACATGTTTGGAGTTACCAGAGAGCACAAAAAGTTGAAGAGAAAGGATTTGAATAATGTTATAATTATTAGTAAGGAAAGAACAAAAGAGCGTACGTCATAATAAAGGATTTAAAACACTACTTAATCTGTAGGAATCTTCCCAATAAATATATAAGAATAGTGTTTTTAAAAACTATAGTAACCACATCGACGAAAAAGTGTATACTTTAGACACATCATAACTGGCAAAAAAATAAAAGATACTAAAACTAATTTTGCGAAAAAAAAAAAATAGAAGAATGCAGAAGGATCCACAGACAACAAATGTTGCAGAAAATAACAACTTGACTTAACATGAATACAAAGTAGACATGTGATTCAATTAATGGATTTGCAGAAAAAGAAAAGGTAACCACATGCATAACTCACATATTATGTCTGTTCCACGAGCTACTCATAGTAACTTTGAGTAAACACTGTGTATACACAAGCGCGTTCCACCAGCAAATTTTCAAGTATTTTTGTGTAAATTTTACTTCTGTTTTACTCATGTGTTACTATGAGTAGCTCGTGGAATAGACCTATTATGTCATTACTTTAAAAAATTATTTAAAATTAATTAAGTAAAAAACCGTTTTCCTAAAAAGTACATCAATATTTATAAAATCATTCTTTATTTGTTTAATAATAAAATATATATTATGAAAGATGTTTTTCATACATATTTATAGAGACTGCAGATAAAAAACATATAATTCGATGATTTTCGTATATTATTTCTTTATTAATTTTAATATCATCAAAGAATGTAAAAATATATATTTAGAGGCTACAGATAAAAAAATATATACTAATTCTATGATATTTTTATTTTTCCTATCATATATCACATATTAAAACGCTCTATCCACATCTTTTAGGACGTAAGGAGTATGTTATAAAGATGATCTTATGATTTTCATATATTATTTTTTTATTAATTTTAATATCATGAAAGAATGATAAAATATATATTTAGAGGCTACAGATAAAAAATATATACATACAGTTTCATGTTATTTTTATTTTTCCTATTATATGTTACATATTAAAACATTTTATTCACCTCTTTTAGGAGATAAGAACTATGTTATAAAGATGATCTTTTGATTATTGGGGGTCTTATTTGTTATTGTTGTTTGTTTGAGCAACAATTGTGATCGACTATCGTTTGATCAGCTGCATAATATCGTCTTAACATATTTTTACCATTTTACCAGTACTATTACAAACCAATAGTCAGCTAAATTATGTTCTTAAATACATATGTTTAATAGAAAATTCGAACCAAATCCAGCGTTTCAATTATAATCAATTTAGTCAATATGTCATATATTAAATTTCAAAATGCATATAATTCTCATAACTTAACGAAAAAAATTTTATAACAGCCCTGCTGTTGTACGAAGAAATTGAACGATGAAGAGTATCTGTCACACGCAATGGTTTTTTAGTCATCGCCGCGGTAGAAGAATATTGTGCAAAATTATTTGTTATTTATCTTAAAATTAGTTATATGAAATAAGTGGAGAACTGGCAGAAAATTAAAAATAATTTCAACTTTTGAGGACGTAGCAGAAAATGGATAGCAAAGGACGTAATGTTATCGTTTGTGATAATGGAACCGGTGTATGTATTCTGTTTCTGCGCTACTGTAGCTTCATACATATTTATTAAAATAAAAATATATGAAAAAAAGCGTTCGCTGCGGAAGTCTTAAGTAAAACTGTTGACACACTTCCAGTGCAATGGTTTCGCTTAATTCCCTCTGGTATATTAGAAGATTATGAATAAAGTGAACAAGTGTATTTTACATAAAAACGTATTGTGCCGTGCAAAAAATGGGTTAAGCTCCGTTTGGGTGTTGGTTATTTGTAATCATCAGAAAATGATGAGCTGTAAATGTTATTGCACTCTAGAGCGGGTGGGGGTTTTTGTTTCAATCTAAACATTGGAAATCCAAGTGCAGAATTCTAATCAGGATATTTAAATTAATTTTTATTTTTACAAATTTACTTATTTGGTGAAAACTCGTTTACTTCACTGTATAAGGTCATATATTAGTTATAAAAAAAATATTTTTTTTTCTAATTTCTTGCTTGGATTACTCATAATAAAAAACTTCATGTTTGCCTTATCATATTTTATAAATGGGAATAAAATATTTGTTATCTAAACTTTATCAGCGAATTTCTAAATATTTGATATAAAATAAGTATTACTTTAGAATATTTTTTGGGTGTGCTTGTAAATTATTTCTCAAATCCGATTGATTGTTAAAATCGAACAAATGCAATTCTTCCGCACAAATCAGTTTGTTTTTAATAAGGACTCCACATATTTCCAATAGGGAAAGGGGTTCTATTATATCTATTTCCTATATCTAAACAATATGCAAAACTTGCATTTGCGAAGGTTTAAGGCTTAACCAGATTAAAGTCAAACAAAAAACAAAAAAAAAATAATGTGTATTATTTTGTGACTCACCTTTTTATTGTAATTTAAATATAAATAATATATATATTCTTTCTCTTATGTTATATTAGTCAGGAGAGACCATAAGCGACTGCACGCTTCTATATTTGTGTACTTTAATTTCCAGACAATTTGAAAATATTTGTTAGCATTTCTTAATGTAAATAACATTTCTAATCCATATATAATTCTATTGTTGCAGCGTGCTTAAATATGTCTCATAAACAGTACTTGGTTATTTTAATTTTTTGTAATCCAAGCTAAAGACCTCTTTGTTAGGTGTCTGTTGAAATAAGTTAGCTGCATTTGGTCGTCTGTATAGACTAATTTTTCCGTGCTATAGTACCAGTAATTCCTGGACTTGATAATCAACATTGATTCCATCTTCAACATCTGTTATTCAACAATTTCTATTTAGTTATTTCTCATTGATTTTGCGTTTGGCATTAATTTAGTTGCCGATATAGTCTTGATCGCCGACACTGACCTTGGATATTAACTTGATCACTAACACTGACTAGTTTATCGATATTACTTACTCATTGATATTGGGTAGATCGTTGACATTGAGTAGATCGTCTACAATGACTTGGTTGTCGACAATAGCTTAGTTGTCAACAATGAGTTGGTTGTTGACAATGGATTGGTTATCGATAATGATTTGAATATCGACAATGACTTGATTATCGACAATGACTTGGTTATCGATAATGGCTTGGTTATCGACAATGACTTGGTTATCGATAATGACTTGGTTTTCCAGAATATGTTAATCGTCGGCATTATCATAATCGTTATTAATGAATTAAATGCCAACATTAACTGCGATTCTTGATATTGTCTTGATATTCGATATTGATTTAATCAGCGATATTAATCTAATCTTTGCTTTAAACCGTGTCCTCCACGTAGACCATGAGCTGTGGCATATAGATCGAATGGTTCTTGATACTTAATGTACTTTACATGTAGTTCAACTATTTGAAATTGTACATATTTAATTATAAAAGATTTGGAAAAATAAACTTTTTAAAATTTTCTTTTGGAAATAACGGCTATAATAGTGAGTTTCAATATTAATGAGCTTCCGAGATTCTTAAACCGTACAGACTGGATCTAATCGATTAGATCGCAGTTAGAATTGGTGAACAAAGAAGTTAGTAGTTCACTTTTATTATTATTCTTCTTTATGAGAATGCTGCTATTTATTATTTTATTTAAATTATTTAAATTTTTTTGCTTTTCCTGCAGTTTGTAAAATGTGGATATGCCGGTAGCAATTTTCCAGCACACATATTCCCATCAATGGTTGGCAGGCCAATCATACGCGCAGTCAATAAAATTGGTGAAATCGAAGTCAAGGTAAGCTTTTTCAATCTAAAAATGTTTATAGTATAAATATTATTATGTTTGAATATAAAATTATCAAATATATGAACATTTCTTAACAATTTTTTATAAAAAAATATTTACAAAAATTGTTAAAAATTGTAGCATAAAAATAATATCAAATTATTTATTTAAATATATTTATTAGCTCTAGAATTATATATATATATATATATTATATTGTATTAATAAAATAAATAAATTACTTTTTAAAATTTGTATTCTTACACTCTTTTCTGTTCTTTTTTATTTTATACAAAATATTTTTACAGGATTTACATGTCGATGTAAGTCTCTAATTTTAAATAAAACTTTTAACATTTGTAATAAATAAAAACAAATATTGAAATAAAGTAAGAATCAAGACTCATGTTGAAACCAAGACATTCAAAACGCAATTTAATCCACCGATAATCATATCAACCTAAAATCGAACTCAAAAATCGTCGTTTTGAGTTTACAATCTAAGTACGGATTTTTAATTTTTTTTGCATTTTCTTTATATATTAATGTATATATTTGTTTTTAATATTTTTAATAATAAAATATTTTTCATTTTTAATTGGATAAAGATATCTTTTATTTGTTTTTATTTTAATGGAATGAATATTTACTATATTTATTGATCTGTATTTCGTTGTTTAATGTTGAAGAATTATTTCAATTCAATTTTGTTTGTTGTTTTTATGGAGTTTTACTAACATTTTTGGCATGTCTGTAATTAATAAAATATTGTTTACATTGCTGTTTTAACAGTTTATATATTAATGTATTTAGTTTATCATTATTCATATAGAACGGAGATTTTCTATATAATACATTTTATATTTCTATAATTATAAATAAAGACTTTTTAAAACTTCCTAAAACTGAAGAGATAATTTTGTTCAAAATTCTGATATTGTTGATTATAAATAAAATATAATCAGTATCATAATAAATGGTATATTTCTCATAAATACATATCTTATCTATAGATTTTTTTTAAAATTAAAATAATAAAATACCAATTGTGGCTATTATTTGTTCATATTTTTTTTTAAAATATTTTATAATTAAAAAAAAAGCACTAAAATTTTAATTGTGTAAAGCTATACCAATTTCCTTCCTTTAAACTATATCCAGAAAACACATTTCTATAGATTAATAACCCTGAAAAAAGCGCGATATGTTTACAGCTAAGAATTGGACACTTCTTTGTGTCCCATAAATGTCTACTCACGGGTAACCCTAACGAACCCTACAGTTCTTGGAATATTTTCGCATCAACACATCACATCTTCCATTTCTCTTTAGACAAAGACGATGTCTTTTTGGGGTTAATATCCCTTACCATTGTCTGGTTTAACGACAAATATCGAATGCATTTTGAATAGATTTTTTTCCCGATTTTATTTTCGTATATCTAAGTAATGTTAGTAGGTTAGGTTAAAGTGGCAAAAGTCTAATTGGACTCTTTGGCCTAATTTATATTTTTCCAATTTTATTTTCCTACATCTAGGTAAGGTTAAATTAAGTGAAAGTGGCAGTGAGTCCAATTGGACTATAGTCCATTGTGTTACCACTACTAAATAGGACAACTTTACCTGTTAGTTAGTTACAGAACCATTTCACGACCTTAATAAAATGCAGACTGTTAGTAATCTAGAGTTAAACAAATCTGTGGGAGAGCTAAAAGCAAACCTGTGTAAGTTTCTTCTGTTTTTGACTAGAGCTGTGCAGCTGTAGAAAAACTTCTCCACTGTTTCCACTTCCCAACCTCTTTCTTAAAATATCTATACTATAGTTCTTACAAGTGATTCCATATTTAATTTTTATAAGTCAACATTAAAGGTTTAATTAAAATATTTTCTTATTCCAAAAGTCAAACGCGACTGTAAGTAGTATTTCTTTGTTCCTTAGATATAGTATTTTAGTTATATCTATGTTATAGATAGATTAATATTTTTTTGTTTTTATTACAACACTAAATCATGCGTTCCTTAATAAATGCATTATTTTTTAACCAATCTGTATAAAATATTATTTTTGATAAATTGACTGAAAATAAATAATTTCTTATATATATATTTGTATATTTTTTGAATCTTGTTTGTATTTTGAAGTATTTTCTTGTACTTCTACTGTAATGATTGTTATATTAATTTAACGAGTATCTCACCAGTAAAGCAAAACGCTCACCTAACATTTGATTTCCCTCATAGAAGCTACTACTATTCTGCTATATATCTGCAAGGCAGCTGTTATATATATTTTTAAATAATTAATAAATTTCATGTGTTACAATAACAAAATTATTTCAACAATTGTTTTAATATCATTTTACACCAAACGTTTACAGGATCTAATGGTCGGCGATGAAGCATCTCAATTGCGTTCCTTACTAGAGGTGTCCTATCCTATGGAAAATGGTGTTGTACGTAACTGGGAAGATATGTGTCACGTATGGGATTACACTTTTGGACCCAAAAAAATGAACATCGATCCAACAAATACAAAAATTTTACTGACAGAACCGCCAATGAATCCGACTAAAAATCGAGAAAAAATGATTGAAGTAGATACATATATAAAAATACTATTAATATAAATGTTATATATGGAAAAATTTTTATATATTACGTACAGGTTATGTTTGAAAAATATGGTTTCGATTCAACCTATATAGCTATACAAGCAGTGCTAACATTATATGCGCAAGGTCTGATATCCGGTGTTGTTATAGATTCCGGGGATGGTGTTACACATATATGTCCCGTTTATGAAGAGTTTGCACTGCCGCATTTGACAAGACGTTTGGATATTGCTGGACGTGATATCACACGGTATCTAATTAAGGTAAAAAATAATCTAAAAAATCTTGTAAAAAATTTACATATTAAATTTAATATCATTTTAGTTACTTTTATTACGTGGTTATGCTTTTAATCATTCCGCTGATTTTGAGACTGTACGTATGATGAAAGAGAAACTATGTTATATTGGTTATGATATTGAAATGGAACAGAGATTAGCGTTAGAAACAACAGTTTTAGTGGAATCATATACGGTATGACAATTTAAATAGTTGAATGAATATACTACATTATAATGATAACATATAAATTATTAAATTATTTTAGCTGCCGGATGGTCGTATAATTAAAGTTGGTGGTGAACGTTTCGAGGCACCAGAAGCCTTATTCCAACCGCATTTAATTAATGTTGAAGGGCAAGGTATTGCTGAGTTAGTGTTTAACACAATACAAGCAGCTGATATTGATATGCGTCCAGAATTGTATAAGCATATAGTACTTTCCGGTGGCTCAACTATGTATCCAGGTCTTCCTAGTCGTTTAGAGCGTGAAATTAAACAATTATATTTGGAGCGTGTGCTGAAGAATGATATTGATAAACTAGCGGTAAGCATATAAATGATTATTATAAAGAGTGTGGTTAATCAGTTAGTTATTCAGTTTGTTTACGTTTATGTCTGTGAGCAGGCAGTTGTTAGTAGCAAACATATGCTACTAGAAGTTAAATAACTTCAAATTTTTTTGTTGTCAATCATTACAGAAGGGTTAGTTGAGACACAACAGCTGATTGACATAATCATTATTTTATTGCTGTCTAAATTTAATTTAAAATCATTTACTAATACTCATAATACTAATACTAATTTACTAATAATATTCCAATGCAAAAATAAGTCCCGATTAATAAATTTAAACTTTTATTTATAGAAATTCAAAATACGCATTGAAGATCCACCAAGAAGAAAGGACATGGTATTCATTGGTGGTGCTGTGCTGGCTGAAGTAACAAAAGATCGTGATGCATTTTGGATGTCGAAGCAGGAATATCAAGAGCAAGGATTAAAAGTATTACAGAAGTTAACGAAAATTACGCAGTAGTGGCTATTGGAAAAGCTTTTTATTTTATTTTTACAACTTTCAAAAGAACATCATTTTTTGATATTTTCGTTCATTTAAATTTTAAAAATTTTTTTCTTTTCCCCGTAACAAAGTTATGATTTAAGAAATATATAATTTTTAATCACATTTTAATTGTTTTTTTTTTTTAATTTTGAAAATTGTATTTCTTTACTACTGCCTTGTTTTCATATAGTAACACTAACAACTAATATTTATAATAATAAGTCAAACTAGTTTATGTACAATAATTAACGCATTTTTTTCTGTATTTGTTAAATTTTCGGTTTTTAAATTTATATATAAAATATAATTAATAATACAAATTTTGTTTTTTAATGTAAATGTTTGTATGCTAAAATATTTATTTAATAAATGTATGATTTTCTTTTAATTGATTTTGTATACACACAAAATAATGTAAACACTTTTTTAAAGCTTTTTAAAAACCAAATTTGTTAGTAAGCTTAAAAGCAATAAAACTTTACTTTATTTTATTTAAATATTTTTTTATTTTAATATTTTAAGTTTTATTAAAATTTCTATTTCTATTACATTTTTTCACTCGTTAGTTCAACAAACACAAAATTTGTGTCCTTCCATAGTTAAAACTTTAGTTAGCTTAATAATATTTCATTTTAATTAATAATAATGATAGTTATTATTAGTATCATTTTAATTGTAGTTAAAAATTTCAATTAAAACAAATTAAAATCTAAATAAATATTTAAATAAATTGAACTGCAAACTATTGAGACTAACGAGGTTGCAGATAAATATAATATAATATAACATAAATAAATGCTTAGAGCAGATATTTAAAAAACTGATCATTTTATTGTTATTTTGCTCTAATAAAAAATTTCATGTGTAACAAAAAACAAATTTAATTATTTTTAGATACAAGTAAGTTTTATTTAACTGTAATTAAAGGATCTTTATCCTTTTGCGACACAAATATTTCACATTCATTATTTAAAATTTTATTAAATTGTTCCTTGAACACTTGGAGAAATCCTCTTTCAGAGTTACTATGGTTGCACAAGATGACAGAAGTCTTTTTGTGATTAGCATCCAGCAATTCATGATGTGACATTTCGCCTGTAACGTATAAATCTGCTTCTACACCTTTTAGTAGTGAAGCTCCAGATCCAGCACAAACGGCTACTTTTTTGATAGTTGTTGCTTTATTGTGTTCCAAGCCCAGACTTAAATGCACATCTGTACCGATATGGTTACGTACACAGGATATTGCCTGCTCCAAGGTTACATTCGTGTCAAAAATGCGTCCAGCACCGTAATCTGGTTGGCATGGATTTGGCTAGTGAGTAAGGTAGCAAGGTTATATTTTTTTATTATTATCAATTGGATAGAAATAAAATGTTAAATAGATAAATTTGTGAGAACAGAAATATAGCAAACATATAGAAGCTATTAACAATATTTGTGTTTACAAATATCCATCGGAAGTGCTTGGGAAATTGGAAATGTGCCAATATATCTTATTAGTAACTCAATAAAATTGAAGAAACTAGTAAATATTGAAAGTGTTGTATGCAAATAATTTATATAATGAAAATAATCCATTTTAAGAAAAATTCTGAAAGGTTTTAAAACGTTTGCGATTTAATATCGAACTATAATATGACTATAATAAGAAATTATCTCTACATTAATTTTTTTTTTGTTCATACACCCCCGTATAAATTCTAAATATATTTTTATAATTATATTATAATAAAATATTTTTCGACGATTATAGACTCTTACAATAGTAGTGTAACATAAAATCGCTGAACAGATCCTATAAGCTCTTAACATATGATGGAGAAGCAAACATTAGGAATTAGGCTGCCTTTTAAGTCCTGGGCTTAACAATGAAAATAGTGAAAATGGTTTTATTGTTTTTCAAAGTATTTTCCATTATGATCAATGATTCTCTCGGTATATACAATGCCGATTTATCTCAATCATTTTCCGCACTGCACCGTTGTTTGCTTGTGAAACAGCGTTCTTGAATAACTTTCACGAAATTCGTTGTGGAAGAAACGACGACCACGCTCGAACTCATTAAATCAGCGTTTTACTGTCGCTGGATTTGATGTTTCCTAATCAAATGTCGAACTAAATTGATCGAAGTATTCTCTTAAGGTCAAGTTCATAATTTTGTAAGATATCTACACCGTCAGGTTGGTAAATTCACCAAAGATTTTGAATCTTTCCCTAGCCAATGACGGAAATTGACAAGAGGAGGAGTACAGTTTCCTTCCATTCGCCGAGCTACAAACCCGGCAAAAATCTTGCTATAAGAAGAGAAATGAATGTTAGGGAGTAGAGATGTCCTTCTGTCAAGGTACCCAAATGAACTGAACACTGCCACGTTTAGCTATTTTGTTAAGAGCAGACCGACATTGTGGAAGGGATGTGCTGTTAGGGATGTGGCTATATCTCTTACCAGAGTTATGAATATATCTTGGCTGTTCGAGTACATTACCATATTTACATCGGGGATCTTGAAAAGTAATCTAACATTTTTAAAAAGTCAGAATAATGAGGAGTATTTTTTGATAGTTTGTCAACTGTTCATTGGATAGGATGAAAAATTAGTTTTTGTTTTCTTTGTATATCCAGGTTTTTTGTGAGGAAAGTTGTAGTAAAACGATGAAAAATTTCTAATTATGGACAGAGAAAGAATATCTGAAGACTTGCCACTATAACCAACCAACTCAACAGTGCAATTCCTGTTATTGCGCCTTATGCATCTTTAGAATTTACTAAATATACTTGAAAAATACAATATCTACACATGTTAACAATCAACTTTAGAACTTTGACTGATAATCATTGTATATCTAATGCAAACCAAGAGAAATAGGTCCAATCAAAATACTTTTTCATCACTTGGCAGACCGATGGAGAGCCCAATAATATCAAACACTTTAGCACCATCACCTTATTGCATTCTTAGATTTTTATCTTCGTGACATCAACACATCAGCAATTTCTGACACTGAAATAGACGGGAGAACTTAGTGATTTATATCGATGTGGTATAATCCTTGAGTGCACATTTCTATTACTATTTAGCAAACAAGATGGCGTACAGAGTAGTAAGACAATTGTTATACCAAACGATTTGACCAAATATGATGTCCCATTGCGTTTGGCGACAAATTCAGGTGATCTTCCTGAGACTGCATCTGAGAACTAATACAACAAATTGTTCATTGATCTTTCACAAAGAACTCTTCTGTTCTATTTTTTCCAATAAATATAATATTGTATTTGTTCCAATGAAGACAAATTTAGCTACTGAAATTAAATCATCAAACGCAATTTATGAGTTCTTATCGAATTTTCAGAAATGGTTAGGAGTACGTGAATAGGTATGTGTATTGCAATCGGTAGCACAAATTGCGCTATTGTACCTGATAAAATAATTAGTAAGATTTGAGTTCAAAAACCTAAATTTGTTTTTTCGGATGTCGATGGTTGTATTTCATTCAAATTCTTTGTTTGTTATTGAATTTGATCAAATCGATGCTGATAAGTCGTTATATAGGTCTGACCAAGTTTTTATTTAGCAATTGTGTCAACATGAAAGTAGACGTCAATTTTTATAAACGGAATATTTTAAGTAGCCTAACGTTTGTATGGCTATTGACTAATCAAATCAACAGGATAAAAGCAGAATATGGCAAAGTCGCAGGAGATTGGCAGGTTATATATGGTCAACAGGAGATGTGTATGCTAAGCAATAGCTTACGGGAAGTCAGTTTGAGTATTACAAATGTTGACCTCACAGACAATGTGGACTTTTACTTTAAAGTGAACATTGAAAATACAAAATTGGCTAAATGTGATGCTCGCATACAGAAAAGTGAATTAGAACGATTGGAATCGAGTTCAAATTTGGCTGCATGGCATGGGGTAGTGCAAGTACAAGGGTTTTATTTCGGTTATACGCATTTATATGTTACCTTACATCCAGTAGTTGGACTGGTGGAGTTTGCTACAAACAAATTGAATATCACATTGGTGCGAGAACACAATATTGATAATAAAATTTTTACTTACTCCGCGGCTGCTGTTGTGCTTTTAATGTTTGTTAATTTGGGAACTGCACTGGACTTGCAACGCTTTAAGTCTATAGTATTTAAACCAATTGGGCCTCTCGTTGGTATTGCTACAAGATATATTATAATGCCAGCACTTGGTCTGGGCTTGGGATTTTTACTCTTTAAGCAGTATGAAGAATTGCAGTTGGCACTTTTCTTTACCGCCCTATCGCCAAGTGGTGGCTTGGCCAACATTTGCACTGTATTCCTGAAAGGGAATCTTAATTTATCAGTTGTAACTACAACTGTAAATACGCTTTTAGCACTTGCTATGTTTCCTTTCTGGATTCTATTATTAGCCAGTGTGATCCACAATAACACAAATATGGCAGTACCATTCATGGATTTGGCTGTTAGCTCAATTGGACTTATTTTGGCCTTAATGTTGGGAGTTGTACTCCGAATTTGTATTCCAAAGACGACGAAATTTGTATTTAGATTTTTGAAACCCGTATCAGTTTTACTAAGTTTGTGCCTTGTTGGATTGACGGTAGCTTTGAATGCTTTCATTTTCAAAGAACTTACGTTTATGGTAAATATAAAATAATTTTATAATTTATATATTAAGTACAGTGTATAAAAGTGATAAAAAAATAAGTGGGAATGAAGTAAATGAGAATTATAGTGCGAAGTTCGTTATTCGTTATCTTTAAAATGTGTCGGGAATGTTAATTTAAACGATGTCTTTCGACTTTGCTATAGACATTTACCATATCAATTTGTTTGATACTTTTTGTGATTTTCACTCGATAGGTTTGAGGAAAAACCATTGAAATAACAAACACAACGATTTTCACAATAATTAATTAATAGCCCCTCATTTAATAGCATAGCAACCATAACGCAATTATTTTTTAATGGCAACATATAACTTCGATTAATCATTTTTTATATATTTTCCTTTATTTGTTTAAACGCGAGTACTTTTACTCAATAGTGTCTGTGATCACTTGAATGATCTATTGTAATGAGAGCTTCGTTGAGTGTATATCTGATAATCGAATTTTTATTTCGTATAAAATGCATTTGGCCCATCCAAGACTATCACCATCCAAGTTATGGCTGCTCTACCGGCATGTGTAGAATGTTATGAATTCTATTACAATGATTGTCGCGGAACGTTATTGTTCCATCGCCCGAGAGTGTGTCCGAGTCGACACTATTTGTACTTTTGTATTTTATCTACAATTCTAATTAAAATAGTTTGATGCCACAGATCAGTATTATATATTTTTGGAAAGTCAGAGAAAAAAAAATTGTATATTTTAATTGCAGTAGTAGAATAGAATAGAAAATACACGGCATAATTGCTTCCAGAAAGCGGAGAACTGAGTCCATTATTGATCTTTTGTGTAATTTACTAATGAACACTAACACGACACTAATGAACAGAACACACTTCTCTTTTTGGATCATAGCCAAAAGATCAACTGTTGAGAAAATATTAACTTTGGACGATAATAGAAGTTCCCGACCTAGCAATCTCTTTCTGGTTTGGATTAAAGACGCACAGTCACAGAATATCTGACTAAAGATTTCAACCGCTTCCATGCAGGGAATATATTCCGTCTCTTCAGACAGATCCACCTTGTTATTATGTAAACGCTATTTTACATGTCTTAAATTATAAAGAAAAAATAGTTTGATTAATGATGAGCACAACGAAGTACACGTCCGAGATATCTGAGTACTATTGCCAAAGATATTATTATTATTATTTTATCCTTAATTATTCTATATCTTACATTAAAATTTTTATTCCTTTTTTATGTATATAGATTTTTCTAGCTGGCACTCTATTACCTCTAATCGGTTATGTATTATCTTATGGTTTATCGAAAGTATTTTGCCGCTCTACGACAGATTCCTTAACCATTGGTATTGAGACGAGTGTTTTGAATATGACAATTCCTATATTACTCTTGCAACATAGTTTGGAAGAACCCAAATCTGATATGGCTATTGTGGTGCCAATAATTACTGCTCTAATATCGATAGGATTAGCTCTAATATTCTATATTGTGCGTCGTATTTTAGGATGGAATACTAAATTGGATGCAGATGCATTTGATGAAAATGAGCTTTTAATTGTAGATTAAATAAAACATTTTATTTTTATTTAATTTAAATGTGATATATAGAATAAGATATACGAACGATAATTATATATATACGAACGATGATTGAATGTTATAGACTTTTAAGACTTATATTATATTTAAGTAAAAAAATTAAAGTTGAAAACTATTGTTTAACAAGGATATTTACTTCTGAAAACAACAAAATGATTAAAGTAAATTTCAAAAATGCTTTTAATTTTATAAATAATTATATAAATAGGCTATGAAAGTTATATGCTACGTAAAGTTAGAAAGGAGAATTAAAAGAGATTGAATCTAACCTGCATTTCAGATGGATGAAGCTATAAATTTTTTTTGGTTGTAGATTTATGTATGCTGTGGGTCAACTAAACAGATCAAAGATGTCATGCAATTTAGAACTGCAGGTTAACACCATATTTAGGACAAATTACTTGACAAGGTTTAAGTTAATGTTTATTAAGCGACTATATCCTGGCGTTAGAACAGTTCTTGATGTTGTATATAGTCATCTTTCCTTCTGTTAGATGATAGATAGCTACCTGTTGAGAACTGAGTTGTTATAGAGATACGGTTTCGAAGAGGCCACTACATCATTGTATAGATCTGAGAGCAGTTATCGGCACTACAGACCAGTAATGGTTACTTCGTTGTAAAAGTGTCGATTTATGCATGATATAATTTTATAGATTGACGAAAAAAGGCGATTAGATGGGGAACTTTGTTGGATAGCTAAAGTCTAAAGAAATACGACAATCCTTTTAAGCGGGTTTTTAAATGATCGATTCCCAGTAGTTTCTTAACAGAGTGTATATGTTTAAAATCGCATGTGCATTGAATTTTACGCAAAAATAAACTTTTTCCCATAAATAGTTAATAAATAGTTATATATACATAATAAATAATTGCTTTGTAAAATAAATTTGTGAGTGAAGGGGGTTTCGGTAAAGCCATAGAAGAACTTTTTTTTGTATAGTAAGTAATAAATTGATATATTTTGATTTATTTCAAATAATGAAATTATAAATTTGTACGTATAAAAGCTTTTTGAATGAACTTTAATATCATATATAATAAAAATTTAATGTTATACATTAAAATTAAATTTTAATACGATTAACTATGAGCGTAAAAGTAAACTATAGTTATCGCAATTTATAAAACAATAAAAAGCTTTTAATTTTTTAATCTATTTCTCTTTCAAAATTTATATTTGATATAAAAAGTGAGTTTAATATATTAAAAACCTAAAGTAGAAAATTACTAGAGCGCAAAGGCTATTGCTTTTATCAAACAGCAAATATGTTAGAGTTCTTTCGGTCAAGTATAATCAATATTTGAGTTTTCATTTAAAATTCTGTAGATGATTCATGCCCATGAATGCATTAATATTCACACTCTATATCAAGGGTTTGAGTACAGACAGACTTGGCATTGTAACCAGAGTTCCAAAACATATATATTTTCTCTGACAGTAAATCCTCTTTCCTACTACTAAGCTCACCTCAAGTGACTTCAAAACTACTGTGGGATTGCTTTAGCAATAAAAATATTGCTAAAAAGAACAGGGTTCACATTATATGGATCCAAGGACAGAAGATTTAAAGGAAACGAGAAAGCCGATGAACTAGCCAGAAAAGGGACGTCCTCATATTATATTGGGCCAAAACTTATAATTACCAAATGGCTGGAATAATGTAACTGCCTGCAGACAAGCTAAAGAATTCATACCAAATCACTCAAAAGCCAGAACTAGGCAGTTACTAATGCTGAACAGGAAAAGCATTTGACTTATCATAGGGCTTCTCACTAGACATTGTGGAGTTAAGTAGCATCTATTGAATCTAGGTATTACAAGGGTTGATATCTGCAGACTTTGTCATGAAGAAAAGGAAACAGCAGAACATAGTCTGTATTCCTGTGGTGTTCTCGTTACACTCACACTTGGATACTAATCAACTGCCTATCCATTTATAATGAAAACAGGCAAAATCTCTCTAAGGGACATAATGAGGTTTTTAACTGTTACGCGCCAATGGAACAAAAGTGAGTTTGTCACAATAATCTTTAAAGATTGTTGTGACGTGGTGACATAGCTCCGACTCTTTTTTTTTTTAATCTGTGAAACTGACAGACTCGATGTAGGTTTGTTGCATAATTCTAAGGTTCTTGTTTCAAGATCCTTCCCTAGTAATTTGGTTTTCCTAGACAGGTTTCATGATATTTGAATTATCGATTTAGTAGTTACTCCCACCACTACATTTACGATATCAGTACTTGATAGTTCTTTAGGGTCCTGGAGAAAGCGTTTTAGTTATACAAACTGTGTATATACTTTTTCTATTAAAGTAATCTTGTCAATTTTATATAAAAATACATTTCCTACCTAAACGTTTGAGTTTTCTAAACCAAAAGTCTTGCAAATTATAGAGCTGAAGCTGGAGTATTATTGGGCATCTAGTAATAGAATACTTGTACTTGAGTACATTTCTAGTTAAATTTTTAGACAGAGCTATTGCTTTTACAGTTGTTAGTTTGTTATTATGTAGTTAATTTTTTTAACGGTTCTCGAAATACCTATTATATTTAAGGAGGAAAAGGGACATCACCACGTGGACAACCCATGGTTATGTTTATGAACTGATCACTATATAAATGTGTCCATGTAAATTGAAATATATGCTGGAAAAGCAGTATAACAGATAACAGAAAATTAACACTATCAAAAGAGTAAGTCTAGGCTAAGCTGTAGAACCAAATAACGATGATGATGACAAACAAATTTAGCTTGTAAAATGACAGAAGCTGAAAATAAATAAAACTTATAGCATGCAATTTATATAAATGCATGTATTTATAAATTTTTAGAAGAAAATCTATTAAATTAAATTTCTATATACCTATTAATTGTATCTTTAATCATTAAGAATCGCTCTTTCGGGCAGGTAGCATTTGATTAAATTGATTTCAATTTGTATTGTCATTACAAAAAACATGAGTTACATATGTATGTATGTATGTATTTGAGGCAATTAATTTTAATGAACTTAAATTAATAAAAAAACTATCTTTTGGATGAAAAAGTTTAATGACTATGGAAAAAACTTTTCGATTGAAGACCTGAGCTTTTTTATATTTTTCAGACAACCACATAATTATTAAAGCATTTCGTTATAAGCTTTTTCAGGTTTTTTATGTCAGCCAAATAAAATATTTTAAAACGAAAATCTAGTCAAGCTCAAAACTTAGTTCAGTATGAGACGAAACTAGGCCTCAGTTAAATTCTGGCTTAAGCAGAAGCGGTTCTAAAGAATTTAAGCCAACAGAAATTATGCAAGACGCATTTAAAGTTTTTGTGTTTATTGTGGAAAAATGTAAAGAAAAAAAAATAATTTGAAAATTTCAATAAATTAATTTTGTAAAAGAATTTCTTTCAGAATATTTAGATTTTTGTTTAATTTTTTAAGAGAAGTGAAAATAATTTTTTTAATAAATTTATTTTATAATAGCTACAAAAGGTCTATTAAACATATGAACAGAAGTGCTTCATTTCGTTGGGAGCCCAGAACTCTATTACTTTTTTTTTTACATACTAATACTCCACGTATATGTCTTTCTTGAATTAATTGAAGTTCTAAACATTTAATTTATTTTTATAATTTAAAAAAATTTCAATTTGTTATTTACAAGTGCAAGTAAAAATTAAGAAAAAATTATTTCCTACCAACGAATGTTAAACTAAATTATAGAAAAATATAAATTAAATAATAAACAAAAAACATTTGTTTATAGAAAAAATCTGTTTTATATATTTGCAAAATATGAATGAAGTCATTCTTAATGTTATTTTAATTGAAGTTTGTGTAAATAAATAAGAGAAAAAAATTAATAATATTCTGCGAAACTTTGACTTCAACAATCACCATTAAAAACTATATTCTTTAGAAAAAAGTTTTATTTAATTATCTTAAGACTCTTCGTGATGATATGCGATATTTCAATTTTCTATTTTTTTTATAAAGATATTATATGAATGAATATTTTTAACTAAACAGCTCTATAAAATACTTCTATTTGCCTTATTTTACACTGTATATAGCTAATCATTAAGAATCATTCATAAAGATGGAATGCCATACGTTTTGATAGGCAAATGATTACTTTGCTTATCTTTAAATTGTTAATAATACTTTATATACTTTACACAAACTATATAGAAATAGTACAGTAGACGCTCGGAATTTGGAACAATTTTGTTTTTTGGGTGCTTCTAATTTCCGATATGGTCCAAGTTCTAGATCTTTTTTGTTTTCATGAAAAGTAAAAGAAGTGCGAAATTAATTAATTAAAATAAATTAATAATTTTACTTAATTGTTTTTACAATTACAATAAATCTTTATTCTGTATATAGTAATCCGTTCTTATGCATAAATTTATGAAATAACGATGACATTACGTAGGGCCGAAAAACTGGACATATGCTTAACGAGTAACAACCCACTGTTTTTGCAGTATTTCATTTAGATTTTAATGCTTCAGACGGAATATTGGGTATGAGAATTACTTATTCTCATTTTGTGTAGAAGAGATATTTGACATTATAAAGTATATAACACAACATTCATTAAGTCCAAAATACAAAAAAATTTGTTAAAATCGATTTTATCAGTAATACATATGTAATGATATGTACTTCTATAATCTTTTCCACTCTATCTTTCTCTTAGGATAGAAATTAAAGTAGACTTGAGAAGACTATAATATGTGTCAATAAATATAATAAAATAAGTTTGTTTCTAATCGCAGAACAAGAACAGTCTTTTACGTTATATGTTGTAGAACGATAGAACTTCTATTTCAAATTGATTTTCCTTAGTATATAATGAGTATATTGAGTATAATGAGTTTAGATTACTATGATTAAATTTTATTCATTATTATTGTGAGTATATTTAACCCAGTATTGGAAGAAAAAATTGATTCCTTGATTCTCCTTTGGATAATTAGGGCAGATAGTGTTTGTTGTGAAATATTATATATTATATCGGTTAAAATTTTATTTTTTGGTTGATTTGGAGTCTTGCATTTACAAGTTTTATAATATATTGCTGCAACTCATAAATAACCTAAATTTTTTGGTACTTT